TATCTCCCTGAGCGTTGCCTTCATAACACCATTCCATCACATTGTGTGAGCATTGCTGTATTGCTTAGCAAGGATCAGTCCCAAATAAGTCAGGCTGACATTATCTTCTTTCTTTCATAGATGTTTTGTAGACCATGGGTTTTGTAGACCATGGGATCCTCCTAGACATAATATATCTTCCTTTCCGCTAAGCTTCCCATAGTATTGATATGCTAAGATGATATGTGCTGCATGTTAAAGGGGATCCAGAGCTATTTGAACAACTATATCCATGGAATGGTGTATCATATTTTGGCATCAGTCTGAAAGGATTTAAGTAAAGGATTTTGCAATGCGAATGTTCTGCGTGTTCATAAAGGGTTTGGAATATGATGTAGAAATGACCCGTATCTAATTTTCAACAGTAGATAAAACAATTTAGCTTACACTTTATATTAAGGCTTAACATGGCTTGTTTGACTATGGCCCATATAGCAAACCATGGTTTAAGAAAGGGCTCGTTGTGGTGGGTAAAGCCAGCTAGCAAGAGTCAAACCGATTCTGATAGGCTTGGATGCAAGAGAGCCCGTTTGGCGCAGTGGTGAAGGCCCCAGGCGAGAAAACGGGGGACGGTGAGTTCTAGTCCGGCCTTGGGCACAAAGCCAGCTGGGGGGCCTTGGGCCAGTCCCTCCCTCTCAGCCCTGGGAAGGAGGCAATGGCAAACCACTTCCGAAAAACCTCGCCAAGAAAACTGCAGAGACTTCTCCAGGCCGTCGCCAGGATGCTAGACCAAAATCAGAAAAACAAAATTCACAGCAAGAGAGCAAAAAATTCCTGTCTTTAGGCACAGAGGGTCAAAAACACAAGTATAGGATGCGGGATTAATCAAAAACCCAAATCTGGGTCTTTTTAGTGGATCTTTTAGTGGGAGGTGAGCACACATTTTGACACATTTATTTTCAAAAGCTAAATATAATCTACAGCTACATGAACGGAGGTCTGCTACTCCCTCCCTGGGACATCACATCCTCCTACATCTATTACTGTCTTAACGGCTTCTGGATAGTTTCTCCAAGGTCATCTCCATGGCGCCCTACAGTGTGCGTGCTTATATGCATCCTTTTTTACCCGTTTCTTAGCTTTTGTTTGTTTCTTCGTAAGACAAGCTCTTGAGCACAAGAGTTTAGGAGTTGGCAGGTTATTAACTGTGTATGTGTGTGTGGAGAGAGAGAGAGAAAGAAAAAGAGAATGAGAAGGACACATGGGTGATCTTAACGCGAATGCCTTCATTGTCTGTCTTTTCTCTTATGTCTTAGGGGACTTGCTTCTCTCCAACTCCTTCACTGAAACTGGTGTAACTGGTCCAGCTGGACCTGCTGGACTTCCAGGCCCAATGGGTAAGATCTGAATTAGCCACTTCCCAACCCGTCTTCCTCTACCTGTTCTTTCCAGGTGGATTTGACTAGAATTCCCCATGCATTGGAGTTCTCTGAGCCTGCTTTAATAATGATAAAGCAAAGATAGTCCCAATAGTTATAGGCGCCTTGGGGGCAATCCCAAAACATCTGGAGCACCCCTTGAAGACCATCGGCATTGACAAAATCACCATCGGTCCATTGCAAAAGGCACCTTGACTTGGAACAGCTTCCATCCTGCGACGATACCTTGAACCCCATCCAGCAACAACATCTGCCCACCCCAGGTCCTTGGGAAGGACTCAGTAGGTGGATAAGAATGCCAAATTCAATCTAAACATCTGACTGACTGTGCAACCAACAACAATAACTTATTACACATTTCATTGCCATACACAAGTAGCATCATGTCAAGAGGAAGGACAATTACTTTGATGGAGATGCGCAGGAACCGTTATCTAGGCAAAAAGGGTTGAAGCATTTTTAAGTCCAGAAGGTCCAGATAACATTCGGAAGTGCTCAGAAAGATACCTTCATAATTCACCGGAGTATAAGGTGGGGGGGAAGGAGGGATAGCACAATCAGACTTGCAAGATTCTATTATTATAGCCAATATCTGTAAAAATAGTTTTAGCCTTCCTGTGGAGTTGATTTCCTGGTCTGTTCTACCTACTGGGGCTGACATGTCATCAGTGGAAGAGTTTTGGAGAAAGGGTGTTCCTTGGTTGGTTTGCAGATACTTAGATGGAACGGCCCTGTGGGTGGGTGTTGCTTTGCAAATGATTGCTGCCTTATTGCAGGTAGATTATTTATTTAGCTGATCCGGGGGTGGTTCTGCCTTATCTGTTTTTGCCTCTTAGGTCGATAAGAAAATGGCCTGGAACTATCTAGGTCAGGATTCTTCAACCTCAGCAACTCTAAGATGGGTGGACTTCAACTCCCAGAATTCCCCAGCCAGCATGACCTAAATCAGGGTTCCTCAACCTTGGCAACTTTAAGATGGGTGGACTTCAACTCCCAGAATTCCCCAGCCAGCATGACCTAAATCAGGGTTCCTCAACCTTGGCAACTTTAAGATGGGTGGACTTCAACTCCCAGAATTCCCCAGCCAGCCATGCTGGCTGGGGAATTGTGGGAGTTGAAGTCCACCCATCTTAAAGTTGCCAAGGTTGAGGAACCCTGATTTAGGTCATGCTGGCTGGGGAATTCTGGGAGTTGAAGTCCACCCATCTTAAAGTTGCCAAGGTTGAGGAACTCTGATTTAGGTGTTGCTGTGTGATGGAGGAATGTACCTGAGTACTGACCTGATGCTCAAATGCTGGGTCTTTTGATAGGTCCGTCAACAGTTCCCTAGTTGGAGTTTAAGTCTGTATGTCTGTTGATTGCTACTTCATTGGTCTGCCATGTTTCTAAGAATTCTCTTGCATTTTCAGCCTGGCTTGTTTTAAGACTTTCACTGTTTCCCAGTTGAAATTACGCCCGAGGTTGTCTGCATGGAGGATGATTAATGAAGGTGCATCATGTCTTTGGACAACTAGTTGATGTTTGTAGATACGTTCTGCTCAGCTTCTGCTTGTTGATCCAGTTCCCACTGCCCTGGCCAACAGGTTTGTTGGATGTGCGGACCTTGAGAGGCAACAGCTGAAGAATGTCTTACCTTAGCTGCAGTGCAGACATTAAACAGGGGTAGGGCTTTGATCATGGGGTCACTACTGCCATTTTTATTCTTTTGACCCCCAACTCTGTAGACTCCCCTAACTGCAGCCCTTCTTTGGAAAAAGAGGGAAACAGTCTTATTCGTCAGCTTGGGAGACGTGGAATCAGTAGCAAGAATTTTCTTCTGCTTCTTTCCAAACTCTCAGACACCCTAATTGTCCCATGAAACCAACTGGTTTGCACCATAGATAAGTAGCTCATAAAAATGATGACCACATGTCTATAGCTGATGGCTTTAAAAATGTAGACAATTGGGTGGAAGAGTAAAAAAAAATCACATCCTTCAGTAGCTATTAGTCAGGGTGGCTGAGAATGGAAACTTTGCATGCCACAGAACTCTTGTTTGATCTCCAGTGTTAGGTTTAGAGCAGAGGAAAAATGCTGTTATTGTTCCAATTACAAGCTTCTCGCAAGCATCTGCAGATGGCCACCAGGTTGGGGTGACTCCACTGTAAAAATCCTGTCTGGAAACATTGATTGTAAAAGTTTAATTGCTTTCGGTTGTATAATAACGTTGGATTCATTTTGTAAGCTGCCTAGGAACTTGGGTTCTGGGCAAATATATTATTTTAATAATGGGAAAATGGATGGAAAGCTGGAAGTCAAGGCAAGGGGAAAACCACAGCTCTCCATTATCAGTGTGATCACTGGTTAGTTGGCCTCTTCAGAAGCTACAGTGATTGAACATTAGAAACAGACTAGGATAATGTTTCCCAACGTTGGCAACTTTAAGATGTGTGGATAAGAAGTGTGGACCTCAATTCCCAGAATTCTCCAGCCACCTTTTCTTAGAGCTTCTCTTAGAACAACCATCCAGCAGAAGTAGTTGTTGACCAGGATACGCTATCTTTTCCTCTCTAGGTCCCCCAGGACCTGCTGGAAAACCAGGTTCTCCAGGGCGCGATGTAAGTAGACCAAGTCTCTCACCAGGAAGCACAGACCTTTGAGAAGAGGGAAAGAATTCCATCACAGTCACTGCTATGGGTTACTTAGGGCTTATGTCTCCATGGGGAGGGGCCCTTGTTTCCTGGCTCCTGGAATTCCCAATATTGGGATCTGGCACTAAAAGTTGGGTTCCTCCTGAGTCCCACCACCAGTTGTGAAGAATGCCTTGTGTCCTTAGCAGCCCTCGTATATCACTGTCTAGAATTCACTGATGGTAAGACCCAAGCAGACCTACATCCAGCTGCTTTGCAACCACTGAAGTGGGGTTATTCTCCTTTCCCAAGCTTTAGCCAACTTGGTTAGGGGATGGAAAGCTGGTCCTCTGCAACACCCCTTCCTCCCGCAAGCTATTAAAAGCAGTTTGCAAGCTACAGTGCTGGGGTCAACATGGAGGAACACCATGTTGGGTTTGCCATCTGCTGAGAAGGGTTGCAATCAGATGGACTGTGCAAGGCTCACAGCTGGGGGGCAGAGCTGAGCAACAGACCCATCTCCTTGGCTTAACGACCCATGCTGGCCGGTGCTCTCACCCCATGAGCCAAAGCAAACAAGCCACGTCGTGGCTTAAGGTGACGCCTTGTTCAGATTACATGCTAGCCATAATGTGACTTCTTTGATTTTGACTTTGACCACTGCAGTTTGCCAGTGATGGTTGGTTTAGTATGGGATTGGGCTGGTCTGCTGCGTTCATAACTAGCTTGTCTGTTTATGCTCAGGCTTAATTATGCAGAAGGGGGATCCTGCCGATATTTATTTATTTATAAATCAAATTTATATGCCACCCATCTCACTATCAGTGACTCTAGGTGGCTCGCAAATAAAAGACATAAAAACATTTAAAAACTACAGAACGCATTAAAAGACTCACAAAGTTAAAAGGCCTAGAGAGCGTCCTGAAGGTGCCGACCACCCCCAGTGCTGCGAGCCCCTATTAGACCCCCACGCTAGGTGGCAGGGCCAGGTCTTAACACTCTTCCAGAAGGCCAGAAGAGTGAGGGGCAGCCTCACCTCGGGGGGCAAGATATTCCACAGGGCGGGGACGACAGCAGAAAAGGCTCTCCTCCTAGACCCTGCCAGTCAAAATTCTCTCACCAACGGGATCCACAGCGTGTCCTTCCTGCTGGACCAGGTGGGATGGGCCAAGGTAACCGGGACGAGGTGGTTCCTCAGGTAACCTAGGCCCGTGCCATGCCCGTGTCATGATCTGTGGCAGAAATGGAGGTCTAGCTGGGAGGTTGCCACCAAGGGATGACGAGGAGAAGGAAGTGGTCAGCCCTTCTCGCCAGTGAAAATATGAGCAGGATGGCATCACCAGGCCTTGCCTGACACAGTGTTATGGCTTCTTCCAGGGAACACCAGGAACACCAGGTGCTGATGGGGCCTCTGGTGCCCTTGGGCAGAAAGGAGAGAGGGTGAGTTTCCAGTCTGGTTGCATGAGGAAGTTGGGGACCCAAACATGGACCCCTGAAACAGAGATGGGCCACCCCAAATTGTCTTTCTTCTGACACCCGGATGAACAACTGACTTCATGCAACCCTTTTGTCTGCCATCAAGTCAGTCGTGACTCCTGTGATAGCCTGGACACGTCCCTGCAGTTTTCTTGGCAACATTTCTCAAAAATGGTTTGTCTCCTTCCTGGGGTTGAGAGAGAAGGTCTGGCCCAAAGTCACCAGCTGGCTTCGTATCTAAGGCAGGACTAGGATCCTTATTCTCCTAAGTCCTAGCCTGGCGCCTTAACCACTACCCCAAACTGGCTCTCTGCGCGCAACCTGCTAAGCTCATCTTTATGGCGCACTTTGTTGGTGGGAGCTAGCCAGGATGGACTGTAAATCATGGTTTCGGTCTGAACACTGTGGGTAAATCTGGGAGTTTAGAATTCTGGGAGGTGAAGTCCACACGTCTTCAGGTGGCCAGGGTTGAGAAACACTGGGTTAATGCCAGAGGCGGATGCTTACTCCTTCCAGCAGGACGGCTCCCCGCTATTTAAAGAAAAATTCATCTTTTAAAAAGATATTTTGGGGAGCCAAGTAAGGTATGGGCAGGTGCCACATTGAGGATCCTGGCCAGAAGCAGGTAAAACCACCACGCTGCCTCTGCACCCTTCCCCAAAGAGAGAAATGTGGACACCGCTTGAATTTTGCTGACCCAAACCTGGGCCGTCATCTCCTCTGTCTTCCCCACAGCTTGCGAATTCCCCCCTTCCTCAATTTGGTGGTGCTAGATTGCGGTGCCCATTTTTCCCACCCTACGTGGGCAGGAATGATGGGAATGGTAGTCCAGATCCTTTCCAGCAAAGTGCCAGGTTGCAAGAGACTCTCTGTTCTTCTTTCTTCACACCTTATTTTGGTTTCTTCCAGGGTGAACCAGGGCCCAAGGGTGACCCGGGTGAGAAGGGTTCCTGGGTAAGTTTTGGGTGACAGCGCCCTTTCCTCCTTTCTCTCCTCCGTAGCTCTTATTTATTTGCCAAGAGGCCTCTCGTCTCTTAAAATAGTCGGTCCCACCTGCCCAAGACCAAGGGCGCAGCTGCCATGCGAGAAATATTAGGTCAAAAGATGAAAAAGCAGAAGGGTTGTGAGATCGCCAGCTCTCCCCAAACGTTGGTCGCCCAGCCCCTTGAGTTATTCTGTGAGAACGCTCAAACCTCAGGCAATCTTACACGAGAAGGTCAACGTCTTGGGAGATGGCATGCTTTAAAAAACTGCTAAATAAATTATTTAATTTGGGGGTAATGTGGACAGCAGTGGGCGTGGTAGTCCTTGCCTAAGAAGGATGCTGCATTGAGAGCATGGAAAAGCCACACACACCCCTTCCTGCCCGTTTGTCATTATTCTGAGATCTCTCTGTGGCTTTGCAGAAAGATGTGTGGGTTTGCCCCTTGTGACAGAAAGGGCATTGAGTTTCACAGCGTTGCCAACATTTGCGAGTTTATGCTCTCTGAAAGTCTTTTTCAACCAGATCCTCTTCCCTTCTCACGTTCAGTTATCAATGCCATTGAATCCAGATTCTGTACACCACGTGGACAATGATGTCATGGTACGTGGGACACCCTCGGGGCTCCTACCCAACACATATTTCTCTGCCATGTTTTCTGCAATTGTCAGAAGAGATAGGATTCGGGGAGGAGATGATGTAACGCTCCCACCCACTTCCTGATTCAGGCGCTCCACCCGTGCGTGGAGCATCCCATTTCAGAATGCAGATTCAGAAATGATATGGTGGAACACCCCATCATAGAAAAGGGGAGTATCTAGGAGATGAAGCTAGAGCACTTCTCCTTCGTATACTCATTTTCTATCCGGAGGGAATGTTCTGTCCTGCTCACTCCCATCTATAGGTTGATGTGGTATAGTCCAAACAAGGATCCAGAGGGAGGCAAGCAAGATGATCCAGGGACTTGAGGATATGCCCCATGAGGACAGCCTGGAGGAAGTTGAGATGTTCAGTCTGGAGAAAAGATAACTTAAGGGAGACATGATAGCTATGTTCAGATACAGAGAGCGAAGCTACAGGGAAGATAGCCAGGAACTATTTTCCACTGAAACTAGGACTGGAAATTAATTGCAACTACCTAGATTTTGTTTAAATGTACAGGTAGTCCTCAACTTACGACCACAATTGGGACCAGAACTTCCATCACTAAGTGATGCAGTCATTAAGTGAGTCATGCCTGATTTTACGACCTTTTTTGCCACAGTTGTTAAGCGAATCCTACTTCCCCCATTGACTTTGCTTGTCAGAAGTCCCCTGGGAAGATTGGAAATGGCAATCATGTGACCCCAGGACTCTGCAACCTTTGTAAATATATGCCAGTTGCCAAGCGCTGAATTTTGATCATGTGACCGTGGGGATGCTGTGATGGTTGTAAATGTGAGGACTGGTCATAAGTCACTTTTTTCAGCACCATTGTAACTTCGAACAGTCGTTAAATTAATGGGTGTAAGTTGAGGACTACCTGTAAGGAAAAACTCCCTCAGTGTAACATCAACACAACAGTGGAACACTGTGCCTACCAACATTGTGGATCCTCCATCTCTGGAAGTTTTTAGGAAGAGGCTAAAGAGCCATCTCTCAAAGACGATTTAAATGGTTTTCCTGTACATTCCAGAGGGTTGGTCTGGATGATCCATGGGGTCCCTTCCAACTCCACAATTCTATGATTCTATGACTTGCTGGCAAAGCTACACCTTAAGAAAGGGGGACCGTGGGAGAGGAAGTCAAATAAGTCAATGGCAATGCATGAAAAAAGGGGTGAGGCTTTGATCATGCAGTTAAAGCTGCCATCTTGGCTCTTTTGGACCCTCTTTGGTGAATCCCCTCTTAAGGCTAATTAAATTCCTGCTTTTCAGATAGGATGGGGGTGGGAATTGGATGGACACCCGGAAACTGGGATGAAACTTACACTGGAGAAAAAGGTTTTGATGGCTTTCCCCCATGGGATGGCCAGCTGTTTTCTGGGGTGTGATGAGATTTTCATGACTAAAGCAATAATGCCTAGGAAAGGGTCCAAGGGTGCAGCCTTCTCCCCCAGCTGTGGCCCTGAGGCCTTCTGCAGAGCCCTGCGTGGCTATTCATTTTGAAACTAACTTGGTAGACGAATCAGGAGTTTCCCGCTTCCACCTTCCAAGAAACTTTAGTGGCACCTGGATTTCATCAACAAATAGACCCCTTTTCCTCTCTCGCTCTGGAGCTGAAAAACATCTGATAAAACAGACCATTCTGGATGTTTTCAGAGTTTTGAAAGGAATGAAGAAAGCCAAGGAGGCTTTGAGGAGGTGCCCGTGACCCCAGTAACTCATCTCTCGCAGTTCTGTTTGGGGGGCGTGAATAGAGAAAAGAACTGGTTTTTTGTCTCTGCTAAGAAAAGTCTGCCCTGGCTTTGACTTTATCTGGAGACTGAAATGCAGGATTTACTGCTATCTCCCTTGGCGAGCGTGCGTCTGAAATTCACCGGAAGTGCTTTGCAAATCTCTCATGGCTTGGCCTCTGAACTTCTTTTCAGGGTCCCATCAGAGAGGGGTCTGCAATATCAGGACACGGATCCTGTCATTCCCTTCTGAAAAAAAAAGGTCCAGGGCTTCCAATGGACCCGCACCTTTTATTTCAGACTCCAAACAGGAATCTGGATTCCTGTTTGGGATTTTGATTTGAACTGGGTGTAGGAAGGTGTTTTAAAAGCCTTGGCAAAAGTAGATTTTCTTTTCGGCAGAAACAGACAGAAGGGGAGTCTCCTGAGGCTGGATCTGGCCAATCGTTGGTCCAGTCCAGCTGCAACCAGATGTGTTCAAAAGCTCATCTATAGTTGGAGTCATTCACTCCTGCTGTTTTCGATTCTGAAAGCGGTGCGTGGTGAACAGACTAGACGCCATGGAGAGCTTGGTCTTCCATGACTCCTTCCAACAGTGATTCTCCTCTTTAAAGGACCCCCCTCCTGACACTGGGGATAGCCCCAGTGAGAATCCTTCCTCTTATTGGCTCCGAATCTCTGTTCATTTTCAGCGAATGACCTCCAAAATCTGATATTGTCGAGGCTGAGAAAAAAGACTCTCTATCCTTGATATTTTGCTGCTGGTGGTGGCCAACCAAATTATTCAACTCTCATTTAGCCTAATCTAGTGTGTGGTGGAAACCCGGCCCTTGTAGGCATCCTAAAAGATGTTTAACATACTCATAAAACAAAGAAGACCCCACAAATCCTCACTAAGACCTAATCAACAAATCTTTGTATCCTCATATCCCATTTGCTGTGGACCTTGGCTCCTGCAACATGCAAAGGGGGCAGGTCAGAAAGTTGGCCATCCCATCCTGGAGAAGCCGCCTGAAAGAAAACGGTGGGGTTTACGTCTGAGCAAAGTGGGTGATGCTCCTGGTTGCTCTGCTTGTTTGCCCTGCAGGGGGGAAACTAGGCATCCCATACCTGTGCTGACACAATTACGCTTACTTGGGCCAGTTAAAAATCCAGCGACTGCATGTCTCTGCAGGCGTGTGTGTGTATGCGTGGTTCAGCATTGGCTGTGAACCCCAGCCACGGGTGGTTAGGATTTAGTGCCCTGTGCAAATTCAGAAAATTGGCCCAATTCAAGAACCAAATTAAATGTGTTGCATGAACGCAGCCCAGGCAGGAGTGTGGTTAAAAAAGTCAACGTGGTGGTCCTGGCGGTGTAATGCACATAAAAAACAGGCAGAGCATTGATCACGCCATTGTGGCTGCAATCTTGACCTTTTTTTTTTTTTACGATACCCTAATATCCACCATGACTGTTCTGAAAACTCTCCATCCATCTCACTTAGTCTAGCCTACTCTGTTGGGTGGACCCAGACCCTGCCAAGGAGGTCTCCATTGCAGCATGGGGTAAAAAACCCTTGGAATTGAGTTGCAGGGGGCTCCCCGTTGGAGCCAAAGATGGGCTTCCCTTTTGTTCCACTTCTTCCTGTCTCTATCTAGTTTCCCACTCCTACCTACAGTAATATAAAACTTCAGAACGGCTCTCATAAGAAAGACGGGAGAAGGACCAGGAAGGAACGGTTGGGGCCATTAGAGTTGTGGTGGGTGACCCTGAAGTGAACACACAGGTCTGAATCGCATGCATCGGGCAGAAGCTGTTCCTCTTCGGCCTGTCCTCATAGTCCTTGGAAGGGAACGGAGAAGAATGAAGCTACTGATTGGTGCTAATAACCTCACCAACCCATTTCTCATCTTCTTCTCCCTGTCCCTGAAGCCACAGGGGCTTGCTTGACTGGGAACTCTGGGGGTTGCCGTCTCAAGTCGTGGGGAAGCAGGCTGGATAAAAAGAAACTTAGTCTCAGTTGGTCTTGGGGTAGGAGTTCCAATAATGGGGAGGTCCCGCAAGGCAGCTGATGGTCAGTTGAGGACCCGGTGGCTGCATTGCCCCAAGTAGTAGGTTTGGGGAATGTGTGTATGTGGTTTAGTGCAGGGTTCCTCAATCTCAGCAACTTTAAGATGGCTGGACTTCAACTCCCAGAATTCCCCAGCCAGCATGGCTGGCTGGGGAATTCTGGGAGTTG